CTTTGCATGCCTCTCACTGCCTCTCTGACCACCTGCCCTCCCTGTACCCTACCCTGGGCAGCAGGGTTCCTCACCAGCACAGACACTCACCTTTACCCCTCCCCATCTCCTGGTTTCAGGACTGCTTGGTTCAGGAAGGGAATGGGCTGCACTGCCTCTTGACTGAGTATTTCATTTAATGCCCATCACCCTCAGTCTGGAGTGTGGCAGTGCCAGTTTTCAATGTAAAATAAGTAAGGGCTGCAGAGAAGCAGACAGAGACAAAGATGAACACTTTTTAAGGTAATAAAAACAGATTCTAATTATATACAGAATGTCTACTGAAATCCTCGGGGAAATTACAAATTAGCCAGCTAAAGGCAACCTGGGGACGGGGAGCAATTTTTTAAAAAGTCACCACAAAGATCAGTTTATGCCCAATTTACTTTAGCAACTTCTCAAACTGAAGGCTGAGCACTGTCTAGCTATGATTAACACTAGTCTCGACATCTGTTTCCAGGCCTCTGACTTTGAAAAGCCTTGAGACTGTATTTGAAATTGTAAAGGAGCATGAAGAGAAAAGGAGACAGATTTTCTTGGTTTTGAAGGAAAAAAAGAAGCATGGAAGCACACTTTGCAAACACAGAGAAAAGTCACTGTCATTCCAGAAGGACTGCTCTCCAGAAGAGGGCAGAGTATGAAGTATGACATCACAGTGCCCTACTCCAAAGTGGCATTTGAATTAGAGGCCTCTGAGACTCAGGGACAGTGGGAGTCAACTCACTCTACCTAAAGCCACTTTCTCTATCAGGCAGTCACTTACCTAACAGGTATTTACTGGGAATCTACCACTTCCTGGGGAAGTTGTTTTAAAGTAAGTGTTCCTCAAAGCGTGGTGCACAGACTAATACCAGATTCCATACTGCTTATTACTGATCTGCCACCAGTTAAATAAAAATGAGGGGCAAGAATGCACAGCACTCTGACAGTGCCTTTGTCTCGCTGAACATGGTATAGAGAAGTATGGTGTCATCAGACCACTGTGTCAGACCACCTGAGGCATAGCTGTGATCCTGTCATGCACAGGAGACTAACACATCAGTCCCTGGCAGACTGCAAAAACTACAAAGATGTGGCCCTTCACAACAGGGGATGTTGTTTTACACCAGGGTCAACACAGTAAAAAACTAGGTGGTGAACATTTCAAGCTCTAACTCACATTCTTCTTTCTTGATTTACTCTGACTACACTGTCAGAGTAAGCTTTACTCGGACCACCTTCAGAAAGTCTCTCAACTGTAGGATCTGTGGTGGGAGAGCTGCTAGTAACACAGCTTCAAGATACACTGATGAACTCAGTAGCTTCTGTGGAGTGATGCCTTTTGACCTTGTTTTGTATGTAGCCTGCTAAGTATCTGAAGAAGCTATAATCTTTAGCCATCAGCTTTCATTCTTCTCAGATCTCCCTCAGACAGAGAATACTCCCAAAAGTTTCCACTCATAAGAACCCTGCCCCAGAAAAGTGAAGGGTTCGAATAATGGCCTAAAACCTGCAAATCTCAGAGCTAAGTCAGCTGGAAAGCATGAACAAAAGGCAACACTCACTGCACAGTATGGAAGGCACCTCTGCCCTAGAAGACAAGTCTCAGGCTCGTCTCGAGTCTAGAGGGCTACCTAAAGCTTCTTCTAGACTATGACACACAAGCTGTTTTTCTGGAGAGAACGTGTTTCTGATTAGCCCAGATGATTTATGACAGTACATTCCACCAGAGTGTGTGATGGCCATTTCAGCTTCAATCACCCACAAATATCAGAGATCTAAGGAGACCAAGAGGAAAAGAGGTGGATTTCATATCCTCTGGGGATGTATGATAGGGCCACTTGTGCCAATGCTTCATCCAATATTGTTTCACATATTTCTAGTTTATAAGCTTTTACTTCATAACTCTATGAGCAGGAGTAAGTGACCATGCCTTGTTTGAAGTCTCCTTTAGTCAGGAACCAATGGTTGAGCATCTACTTTATAGCAGGCTTCGACCAATGCACTGATCAGAAAGTCAGAAGACGATGGTCCCTACTCCAAACTTATAGGAAAATGAGAAGAGAGATGGAATACCCAGGGTAGTTATCCCTCTCTGGTTTGAGGCAACATGCAGCAGGAACCACCACCACTGTCAGCTCATAAAACAAAATGCCATCAGGGTACATGAAAATAGGTAGTAACGCACCATCATTTACAGACAACATAGTCACTGTAGGAAAGTACAGAGCGGTCAGCTGGGAATACTTCTGGCTTAATGAGCAAAATATTTCAGCAGTTTGAAATAAGAGCCCTTAGGTATGGTAGATGGATATGACATCACTCTACAAGAACAAAAATGACCACATAATACCATCCACACTTTTAAGACATTACAGTGAGCAATTACAGTAAGCAAGCTGCACTTTAACACGTATATTTTCCTTCACCAGATAAAGGAGATAGTGATAACAATGCCACAGAACATGAGCAGCTAGACTCAGAAAAACTTCTTAACTACAGCCATCAGCAACCCAGACAGAACAGTAGATAGAAACAACCCACCAACAACAATTGCACATACTCTACCCTCTGGCCTCCCCAAAGGACAGGCCTTGTGTGATAGGCTGAGGTGTGTGAGGAGACACAAGTCAATGGTGACTGCATGAGTGTGTGTGCTGCACCTGGCCATGGACAACACATGAGGAACCTACTAAGAAGGGAGACACAACACTGCTTCAGCAGCTGGAACACTTCACAGGACAGGTGGTGTTTAAGTTGGGCTGGAAGGATGAGTATGGATTTTGTCCACCAGATGGACAGAGCAGGCTATGTGAAAGGTTCTATGGATGGAGAATTCAACACAAACTGGGCACAAGAAAAGCAAAGCTCCTTTAGAACAAAATCACACATAGGCTGGCAGAGCAGATGTCACTGGGGATTGATTTAGAAACAAAAGCTATAATACAATCACTATAGCCTTGATTTTGACATATTTGGCCTTTGTGATACCTATGCATAAAGGAATTATATGTATGTTTTAAGCAGATGTCTTGTGTATAAAGATGAAGAAAGACTAGAAAGAAGTCAGGGTGGTTACACATGCCTGCAGTTCCACAATCCCACCATCTGTGAGACTGAGGCAGTATGATCAGAACTCAAGGTCTGCCTGAGAAATACAAGCCTAAGAGGAGGGGTCTGGGCCATACTGTGAAGAGTTACAGTTATTCCAAGGTCTCCTGTTCAGGGTAATTGTGGAGAAAAGCTATTTGGCACGTGATTGAATCCATACAATTCTCATTTGACTGACACCAGTGGAAATTTCTGCTTAGAAGCAAGGCTGAGGCTGTGTGTGCTGAGGCTTCTTCTTGTTTCTACATGCAATGGCACAGCAGACACAGCTGCTTCTCCTCTTGGGGGCTGTGAGAGCCAATGACTGCTCTCCTTACCATGCTGATAGTTAAAGTTACAACATCAGAGTCGGACCTGCACCCCTGGATAAACTGCAGCCACTATGCCAAAATGGGTATTGGAGTGGGGGTGGGAGTTCAGTGCACATGACATCTTGAATACATTATGTCATATTGTCACCAAAACAGGGGAGCATTCATCATCATGAAAACCCCTTTTCAGAAAAACTCTTTCAGAGAATGAGGTTTGGTGGGGGTGGGTGGACAAAGACCAAGGTCAATAGATTCAAATGTCCCACCTCATAGGATTATTAGGAAATGGGGTGAGAAGCTGGGTGGGTGGCACATACCTGTAACCACCTCACTCTGAATGCTGAAGCAGAAAAAAATATGGGTTCAAGGTCAGTTTGGGCTGCATAATGACTTTGAAGCCAGAATGAACTACATAGCCAGATTGTCTCCCTGCCACTCCCAACAAAAAATAAAAAGAAATTAGGTATGTGCTCAATAAGTTCAGCTGCCATGAGATTGTGGAGTCACATGAGTTTGAAACCTGCTGAACCATGAACTAGGAAATGCTTCCTCTTGTATTTTCAAGAGAAAACCTGTAGAATTTATATTATTTCATATTTATATACATAGTAAGAGAAAACCTTCTGGATTCAGAGAAATATTGTTTTTAGATTTTTTAAAAAGTATAAATCTGATTTCTTGAGAGCTTATAATTCAAGTGACTTCTATTATTTTAGAAGAGTGTTGACAGTTAATCATATTGATTTATCAACTTGACAAGATATGGAATCCCCCAGGAGACACACCTCTAGGCATGTCCGTAAGGGAGTTTCTAGACTGGGCTAATGGATGTGGGAAGACCATCTGTGGACAGAGCAATTCCACAGGCTGGAGTTTCAGGCCAAATGAAATGAAATTGATTGGACCGCCAGCATTCATCTCTCTCTGTGTCTCCTGAGTGAGGATACAAAGTGACTAGCTACTTTATACTCCTGTCTCCAGAACATCCAATCCATGACGGACAGTACCCTCAGACTGAGAAGCAGAATAACCTGATTCCTTTTCTGGGGAATTTGTTGCAGCAACCATGGAAGTAACAAATAGTATTTTATGCTTTCTTTGAGAAATTAGCTGATTTATCTGGATTGCCAATGTTATTCACATGGAGTTGTCAGAAGGGTTATTATAAAAAATTCTTTGTTGATCACATATTATTTTTATAATTTTCACTGCATATATTCATTATACTTGGTACTGTATCATAGGAAGATGCTTTCTTTTAAAATTTTGTACTTAAAATAATTTTTAAAATTTATATAACAAAAACAAACAAACAAACAAAAACCTCCTGCTGAACCACAGTATTATCCAGAAATGAAAGAGAGAACCTGCCTCATGGGCTGCTGTGGCTAACAGAGTGACCAGCACACCTGGTACACAGTATGTCCTCAGCCGCTATGACAGCATCTGGTGAAGACTTCATGCACAGGCCCACAGAGTCAGGGCGTGAGGAGTTCAGGCCACTATTCCTGTTGTCCCTGTTTGAACTGAGGAAGGAAGAGTAAAGGTGGAAATACTCACAGTCTCTTCTTATCCACCACACGCTTAACTCGGATGGCTCTTTGTTCAGAGTAAAGCTTACACACTCCTGTTGAAGCAGAAAATACCAGAACAGAGAGCATTCAAAATGGCTTATCAGGCAAAGGTATCATTAACACTAATGAGATACTATGGTCTTCAGCTAGCAAAGCTCTATTCTAAATTGCATCTCTTATGAAACACCACATTTGACCTTTAGAAGAAAATGAAATACTTTTTAAGTAATCTTCAATGAAATCCAAAACTGCGGTCCTGTGTTCCTTCACTTGCTGGGAATGTATCTCCTTGTGGGCTGTAAGAGAAAAGGACAGCACTCAGATCAGTGCTCAAGGACCCCACAGAACAGTCAGCTTCCTCAAAGCTCTTCATGGAAAGCATGTTCAAAAGTACAGCTATAAACCAGCCTCGTGTCAAGTGAGACTACATTTTTAAGAGTAAGATTTATTAGGGTCCACCAGGTGAGAGATTAAACCCATAGAAACTGCAGTCAAATAATTTATAGCTTATTACAGCACTGAGGGAGCTGAGTTGATCCAGCTCCTTCCGGAATGCTGACCTGGCTGTATTAACGGCATCCAGTGCTCAGGCTCACCTTCAAGTGACATGCTTACATCATGCATGCTGGACCACAGGCACCCTCTGCCTGAGCTGCTTCAGCTCACAGTGGCAGTATTCTCCCCTTAGAAAGACACTGAGTGGCACTATCCACACTACCCTGCTCTCCAACAACTTTTTATTATTATTATTAATTTACATTTTACATTCCAATCCCAGTTCCCCCTCTTTCCTTTCCTCCTACTCCTCCCATCCCCCCCCTCCTCCCATCTGCTTCTCAAAGAGGGTAAGGCCTTCCCTGGGAAGTCTACTAAGTCTGTCCCATCATCTCGTTGAGGCAGGACCAAGGCACGTCTCCACCCCCACACATGTGTCTAGGCTGGGCAGTGTATCTCTCCATAAAGAATGGGCTCAACTAAGTCAGTTTGTGCATTAGCGTTAGATCTTGGACCCACTGCCAGTGGCCTCATATATTGTCCCAGTCACACCACTGTCACCTATATTAAGGGAGTCTAGTTTGGTCTTATGCAGGTTCTCCATTTGTCAGAACTGATCAGTGATCAGGGTCAGCTGATTCTGTGGGTTTCTCCATCATGGTCTTGACAAATGCTTGCACACACACAATCTGTTCCCTCTGACCTTGGCCTTTTGGTAGGTTACAGATTATATTTAGAGAGGTCCTTTCCATTCCTGTCTGCCATTTATTTAACTTGAGTAACATTCTTTTCAAGACTTTGAACAACTTAGCTTAGAAGACTGACCAGGAAGGAAGAATTTTCAAGTTTTAAGTCCTAAATGCCATTCAGAAAGTCAGAGGGGATCATAAGAGCTGCACTATGAGTAGTTGAACTGGCTGGCACATTCATGGGATCTGTTGGCATCTTTCAGGGCACTTCACCTTCTGTTCTGAGTTGCTGAATTGCCTCTGAGCAGGTCCTCATGAATATTTGAGCATCCTGGTCGATCTGGTCTCGCTCAGCATCCGTCATCCTCCCATATTCAGACATGGTATGGCTAAAAGAGAGAAGAAATGTGAGGGTGGCATCAGCAAGAACATAATGCAGTCCAGGTAGAGTGTTAGGAAGAAAGGGTTCTCTGGACAAGTGACACCAAAGCTAAGACTTGGAGGGTGCTGGCCAGACCAACAGCTGGGAGAGTGATCAGAAGAGTGGAACAGAGGCCAGGTGGTGCAATCTTCTGAACAGCTTTCACAGAAGCAGGCCAATCTAACAGGCCGCAACACACAGCCTTGCTAGAAATAGAGGCTCCAATTGAGGACTGCATAACCCCAAAACTACATTAGAGTCTCAAGCCACTCACCCTGCATGCTGCAGGGACCTGATCTAGGATGATTGAAACATATGAAAAATTTCTGTAGACTGTTGTTTCTTGATTCTAGAAAGCAGTTTTCAAATTCACAACAAAAGTCTCTAGAAATAAATTTCATCTCCCCTGATATTAAGTTTACCATCCTGAAGTGATGGGGATGGTGGGGACCTCTACTTTCAGTAACAATCTCTGTGCAGCACAGAGCACCTGGCTCACCTTCACAAGAGCTGGATGAGTGTGGCAGCATAATCAGTAACAGTGATTCTCCTTAGTCTACTTCAAAACTCTGGACTTCACAGCTGAAATTCACAATGCTGCAAGCTGAACGGGCACTTATGCCATGAAGATACTCAAACCACTCCATTTCACCCACCTGTCCATCTAGCCTTGAGGACAAAAAAGTCCTGACCATCCTATTTCACCTGTGACCAAGGTTACAGGTTTCCACTCTGTCATGAGTGGCTCTGGTCACTGGGCTGTCCCATCACCTACTTCACTCCAGAAATGTTGGCCTCTCATGGAACTCACCCAACATTACTTGTCATGCTGTGCTGGTGAAGAGATGGTCTCCACTCCAAAGCTGCCCTCTGCTTCTCTGCTTTGGGACACAGCTGGGACCACCTCTGACCCTCACCTCTGCTGTGCTGCTGTTTCTGACCCTGCTTTGCTTTTCTCCATTGCATTTATTATTCTCAGAAATGCCAAAGAGTCTGTTTTTCTCCTCCAATGCTATGTGGAAGCAAGGACAGTCTGCCTTGTGTCTGCTTCCCTGGTAAAATCACGCACACAGAGTACCTGACTAATACCAGCTAGACAGCAAGCATATGCTAGGTTGGTCCTCAGCACTTTATGAGCATCTGGTTTCTTATTTAATTCTCACAAATCACTCATTCCCTTGTGTATGCACTGAGCCCACTCAGGATAAGTACTAAGCTGGGGCTCAAAACTGAGTAAGGCTCATTTCTGGTCTCCACAGAAGGCACTCACCTGTGGAGTGGTCAACATGAAAACAGAGTGCCAAGACCTGCACTGACTGGTGCTGATGTGGAAGTGGACAGCAGAGCTCAAAGTGGAGCGAGGTCACCTCATGTGGGATGGGTGCTTGGCAGAGCATGTGGGGTAGAAGGCACGCCCTATCAGAGGATGGAGACAAGGACCAGATATCGTTCCCCACCCTGTGGGGGATGGTTTGAGTGAACATATAATATCCACTCCACACCTGGGCACATGGGAGTGAAGTAGGGAAAGCAGCAGGGAGGTTGGTCCTGTGTTCCAGAGAGGGGCAGCATATGACATGCACTCAGTGTGTCTCCACACTGATGGGTCTGGCACATGGTGGTACCATTCCTCATAAGATAGTGTTACAGTAAGCATTTATTTAAAACCCAAACACAGACACTCTACCCTTCACTCTCAGTGAGGATTATAAACACAACCATTTGCACATGGTTTCTCCACAGCAGACTGTCTCAAGACTGAAGACAGGTAATCCAATCACAGTTGAGGGACCACTGCCATTGTCCCAAAGAATCAGAAAGGTTAGGTGCAGACAGTGTCTAATGGGGGCGTGAAGGTGATAGACCTGAGAGACGCCGCACTGCTTGGGCCTGGAGGCAAAGAAAAAAGCCATATGCAGGTCTGTGAACACAAACACACATCACACCCAGGACAGAAGGCCCAGTCTGGAGAGAAGGAGCTTTTGGGAATGAGCCAAAGGTGTCAGGCCAAACTTAGGGCTTTACAAGTGGGGAGCTGGAACCCTGACAAGAGGGCTCTCTCCTCTGCTGCTCTGCTATGTTTTAAGATCATGAGACACAGTGTGCATTTGAAACAGAGCAGGCTTAAGTTATCAGAGAGAAGTTACAATAACAAAATCATTGCTATTCTGAAAAAAACTTAAAGAATTCAAAATTATTTTCATGGGACATACATATATAACCGTAAAGTTTTATTTCCTTGATTATGAAGAGAAATAACTATGTTACAGATCTCAACATAGCTAAGTAGTCCATTCATTTAGAGGAGATTATGTTAGGTTAAGAATTTGAAGTCATCAATTTACTTCAGGAGAAAGGTGGGGGAAAGTGAAAAAATACAAGGTTATTTGATGGTTCAGAAACTTAAAGGAATGTGTTTCTCCTGACTTGGTTGGCAGTACATTAAGAAATGACAAGTTCAGGTGAAGACATCACTGACGGTCTCCTCACTATAGTTTTACGTAGAAGCAGCTATGCACTGAGGGTAAAGAAGAGGCAGAAAGTTGCAGTGCTTTGCTGTGCAGGGTGCTGAAGGACATGATAACAGTTTAGGGCTATAGTCTTGTTTTTGCTGGAAATGTTAGAGTCACAGCAACTTCATAGTGTATACACATTATGAAATTAAATTAAATTGTTAATGTCTGTGCTACACACAGGAGCTGAATGTAGACCCTGCTTTCAATAAATTATCAAATAGGTGACATCATCAGGGCTATGCATATAGATGTGTTTATCATGCAGCACAGGATAATGGCCAGCAATTCTTTTATTAGCTAACACTGACCACTTTTCTAATGTAGGGTGCTACATATGTTTATCTACTTCTCAAAATTTCCAAGTAGGTGCTATTATATTCCCATTTTATAAATGAAGCAACTGAGGCCCAGAAAGGCTATCTAACTGCTATGATTTTACAACCAGTTATTAACAGAGATGGGGTTTGACCAAAGCAGCCTGCTTTGAAGTCTCAGACTTCATCAACCCCTACAATACTTTTTTGGAACCAGGTCACATGTAGGTCACCTTTGCCTCAATCTCACTAAGTGGCTGAGGAAGGCCTTGGGATTCTGAACTTCCTGGTACTACCTCCCAAGTACTGGGATTACAAGTGTGTGTCACCACGGGCAATGAGGCAGGAGAGTTTGGACCAGGATGCTTGTTTCCCATGCTGGTGTGTGTGTGGAAGTGGGATGGGGGATAGATGGGGAGGGAGGAACTCACAAACTGATTCCTGAAAAGCAGGCATGGCTGAGGGAAGGAAGAATAAGGTCCCGGGTAGCAAGTGGAGAGAAGGGTGAGGACTTCAAACTGGCTGGAATATAGGACAGGCAGGAATGCTGTTTTTAGTGGCCTTCAGGGCTAGTCAGGGACTCTGTAGCCAATGAAAAGGCTGGGTGTACAAAGAGAAATGAAGTGACAACAGGCTACATGGCACAGTGGTGGAAAACCAGGCCTCGAGCTACTGACCTCAAGCTGAGAAGAATCTTGCCTTATTCGTCTCCATGCTCATTTGTTCGCTTGTGTGTTATTCAGTGCTGGGACTGAACCCAGGGCCTCATGCGTGAGAGCAAGTGTTTACCACTGAGCTGGCCGTGTGTCCACCCCCTCTTGTCTGTTTCTCAGCGCTTATAAAGGGTAGGAGCATGGTACATGTTTGTTGAATTTTAATTTCAGGATGGAGCTGCTGGGTTTGGTGGAGTACCCCATGGAACCCCAGAACTGGGGAGAGGAGGTAAGAAGACTGGGAGCTCAAGGATAGCCTGGGCTACAGCCTCCCTCCCCCCCGCATTTCAACAAGGCAAACAAAAGAGGGAGGAGAATGGCAGAGTTTGGATGATGGCAGGAGATCCAAAAGAACCAGGGATGTAGAACTGCCTGGAACCGAACAGCTGTTGCAGGCAAGACTTAAACAGACCCTGATCTGGGCCTGTGTGCTCCAGAAGAAACAGAACACAGAAAGAAAGCAGGAAGCACTAGGAACTGATGGCAAGCAACCTCAGCAGAAAAGAAGTAATGCTCTGGAGACAGATTGCCCCATGACCAACACAGTGCTATAAAGGACTGACCAGGGCCAAGGCTTGTCTCTATGGATATGATCTTGAGGAATACAAGGAGATCTTAGGAATGACGGATAGTCTCTGAAGGACTACAACTTAGTGAAAGGAGAGTCACTGAACTTGGAACAGAGACATCTAATGACCCATTCAACAGTCCCACTCATCTGTTTATTTTGCATTGCACATGTCTAAAACTGAGCTCCTGACCTTTCTTCAAACATGTTCTTCATCAGCTTTCCCTGGGATGGGCTGTAGTGATTCCATTCCTTCCTGTTGCTCAGGCCCCAAACCCTGACATCATCACTAGCTCCCCATTTGCCTCTCAGTATGTATAGATCTATCTACATATCCTGTTGGCTCTACCTTCAGAACATTCCCCAGAATCCATCCAGCAACATCTCCCATCCAGTCTGAAACTGAAGCTGACTCCAGGGTTTGCTGCTTCTGCCCAGCCCTCCTTGTTTGATCAATACACCAGCCACATGGATGCTCTTACAGATTTGGATCCTGTCAAGCCCTATGCACAGGCTTTCCAAAGCTCTCTTGATTCATCTTACCCATCCCAGCCCCTGGCTCAGGCTCATTGGCTTTCTGCTCCTCCAACTTCCATGCATGTTGCACATAGACCTTAAAAGCCCTGGTTCTCCTTCTGGAATGTTCTTTTCCAGGTGTCCAAATAAGCAACTCCAGTTACTTTCCCCTGCTTTGTAGTCTGAGTGGTTCTTCTGGGAACAGTGAGGTGAAAGGGGTCAAAGGCTCCACGTCAGAAAGATGTTGGCTTCTGAAAGAATACTCAACCTGCCACCAGGGTGGACCTATACAGCACCAGTTCCAAAGACACTGGACTAATATCCTCTGGCTCCATATACCC